CGGGGCTGGGTCCCGCAAGCCCTGGCAGCGGACGGGTGCCGCACGCAGCTGGGCGGCCCAGAAGACCAGCCGGGTCCGGAAACCAGGGCAACGAACCCGGAACCCAGACCCGGCAGCTCAGGAACCGCAGTGAGGAGCGAATGACTGAAGAGAAAACGGAAACGGAAGGGGCGTGGCTCCAGGGACCCCGGAATCTGTATGGTGGGACTATGTCGGAGAGGGCGGGGCCCGGGGCGCTTAAACTGCTGTAAGAATTGACGGAATGAGAGGCTTCGCTGGAAGAAATATTAAAGGAACCCCTTCCTCCCGCTTCTGCCCGAAAGCCTCTCCATCCCTTCCCTTTCTGTCTTACGTAGATCAAGTGAAAGTTTCATGTCATTTATTCATTCAACAAACACTTCATAGTGAAATGATCATAGTCCAATAACAAATATTCCATAAAAAATGTACGTATCATTCCAATTCACAGTGCCCCGAACTTTTCTCTGGCTTGCTCCATCTTTTGCCCCTCCAGCGGGCTTTAGAGAAGGCCACACATGGACCTGCTTTGGGGCTGGAAAGGGGAAGAAAGGGGCAACATGTGTTGGGGAGGAAGACCAACTGAAATTCCCAGGCAAAGGCCAGAAGACTTGGAGCTTGAGTCAGGGAAAAGGTCCATCCCTTGAGAGGGAAGCAGAGCTTGCTTCTGGCAGCCACCCACTTGTGTCCCAGTTTATAGTCTGATGCCTATGGGGAGAGCAGCCTTGAAGGCTTAAGGGGCAATGAGACTGTAGGGGGGAACTGCTTGGCATCCAGCTTGTCCTTGTATTGTAGCTCAGGGGTAGCCAGGCGTTCACACTCCTCCTGGTCCTGAGGGCTCAGTCCACTTTGAAGTACATAACCCAAAACCTTGGCAGCCCCAAACTGGAAGGGACGGAGCTTCCGGTTGGTAATAAATTTTGGGTCCAAAGCCTCACCCCCCACTAGGCAATGATTAGCCAAAGCCTCTCTGCGAGCCCGAAGCTCTGCCACAGCACGCTCCAGCCGTCTCTGGCCATATTGCTCTATACGTGCCCACAGACTGCGGTTGAAGTGCCTGTAGAGAGCCCAGTCGAGATTGTTCCAGGCTCGGGCCCGCGTAGTCAGCTGCCGATCTTCTGCATTTAATCTACCGTTGCTGGCAGCATTGAGGCCCTGCTCACCTCCAGCCTGGGCGTTGTGCATGAAGCCCACCACATCATCCAGACCCCAGCACAGGGCATCTGCCAGCAGAACCAATGACTCATCAAAGTACTCAGCCACCATAACCAGGTCAAAGATGGAGTCCAGCCAGGCCAGAGCCCACTGGATGAAGGTTGAGGACACCAAATCTAAAGAGGCAGGGCTATCTGGCTGGCTGTGGCCATTAGCAACTGTGGAAACAGGTTGGAAATGGGACTTGGGACCCAGGATTTGGGCTCGAGGGCCAGTGCCAGAAGGCAAGACATGCAGCTGGAGGGGGCTGGGGTCCTTGAGGAGATGAGGATTCTCTCTCTTAGTCCTCATCTCTGGAGGGAAGGGGAGGCCAAAGTCAAACCACAGTAAATTTCGGGCATAGTGGTCCCCTCGCGCCCCAGGTCGGTAGAAGGCTCGAGGATTGGCCAGGAACACAGCCAAAGATGGTGCTTTGCGGAAGGCAGATGAGGTGGATTTATAGTAGGAGAAGGCAGAGCGGGCCAGAGCTGCTGGGTCTCGGACAATAGAAAAGAAGAAGCTGTCAGAAGGCATGACCTGAAGTACCTGCAGAAGAGAGAAGGCAGACATAGGAGTAAAGAAGTGTGCCAGGGAGAAGCATAGGCTCAAGCTCTGCTGGTCCCCCAGCTTCCTTCCCCAGTAGTATGGCCTGGGGAAATTTAACATCTTTTAGACTCAATAATCATAATTTCTGAGGTAATTATGAAGGGTACATGAGACAGAAGATGTGACGAACCTCAGAACACATGATGCTCATGGAGAACTTTAATATCCTTGGACTTTCTGTCTGGCCTGGTCAGTAAAACTTCTAGGAACCAAACTGTACTCATTTCTCCAACAAAAACCTATTGAGCACTTACTCTTGGACTCTTGGTCACAGCTGCAAGAAAGGAACTGGCCTTGGGCCTCTCCAGGATGGGAGGCAAGTGAGGTCATTGGTAGGAAAGAATGAGAAGGGGCAACAAAAGTGCCATCTAAAAAACCATAAACACCAGGGCCGGGGATTTAGCTCAGCGGTTCGGTGGCCTGCCTTGCAAGCGCAAGAACCCGAGTTCAATCCCCGGTACCAAAAAAAAAAAGTGCCATCTGGGGCCCGCTCAGCACAGCCACAGAGCGACACAAAACTCCTGGACGTCCTAGAGAGCAAAAAATATCCCTGGACTAGGGTATTAGGGATCACCAGATACTTGGTAGAGTGCTGCCCTTAGGGCTAGGACACACAATTCCACTTCTTAACCAGGATGGTGGGAATCAGGGTGATCGCCTTGATGTCTGATCCACATAAAACTATAGCTCCTAGATGCCCTGAGGGTTTCTGCCTCTGAAATTGGCTTCCATCATTGAATCTGACCTCTCTGTGTCACAATATTCTCCACTTTGCTCCACTAATATGGACAGGCCTCAGGGGCAGAGCCTTTGAACTGTCTCTTTGAAGGCAGAAGGGAACTGTGAAGAAAATAGTCTTTGACATCAGAGGGACCTGGGATCAAAGCCTAATTCTACTATTTATGTGGTATGATTTTATTTATTTATTGGTAGTGGGGATCGAACTCAGGACCTTGCGCTTGCAAGGCAGGCAGCGGCACCACTCAGCTAAAGCCCCGGCCCTGGGGTATGATTTAAAAATATAATGAATGTTTAAATTTAAGAAAATGTGTTACAGTAAAATATACATTGCTGTGAACCCCCTCTCCCAAATATACCCTCTTGCTTTGAACACACTTATCCCATCATTCTTGCTGAAGCGGTTCTGTAAGTGCTCTTTTGTGTGTCTTTAGGTGGACTACCTTGATGTTGTGAAGCAATTCCCAATGTTTACCTTTTCACAGTCATTGCGACTTTAAGGAAGAGCTAGGATTGCATGGTGCCAGCTCTGGTAAATAAGGTGGATGAGAACACAGTGTAATATTTTATGAGCCTACCTTTCTATTGGATGGCACTTGGCAGCAGGGTTCACTTTGTTATTTATTATGTCTCATAAAGACACAGAAAGAGGACTTCCAGAAATGTTTCACAAAGTGGCAAGAATGGTGGGATAAGTATGTTTGAAGGAAGGGGAAATATTTTAAGGGGAATTCATGGCAATGTGTCCTTTACTCTAATAATTTTTAAAAATGTAAACATTAACCGTGTATTTTGATCACACCTTGTACTAGTTGTATGGCTTTGGGCAGATTATTGAACCTTTCAGAATCTTCGTTTCTCCACCTGTAAATCTGGTTTAAACACTTACCTGGAAGAATGGGGAAGTGCCTGGAACACTAAGTGCTCAGTGAATGTGGCGAGCAGGAAGGTCATCATCCAAGCCACAGGAAGCTGACCTCAAAAACTCCGGTCATCACCCATGTCCCAACAGTGGCCCCTGCTGCCCATAGATCACCCTCACACTCCTCATGTGTCTCCAGCTCCAGCTCCAACACTGGTGTCTTTTCCACCCCCGCTGAAGCTCTGCCACCTACTTACACTGCACACTCCCCTTCTGACACACACGTGTGTGCAAGCACAAACATGCACCACTATGTCTTTGCTGATGCCTTGCTCCCGTTAAGAATGCCAGATACTGTCCTTACTGCAAAGCCCTACTTTCTTCCCAGCTGAGAGTCGATGACTACTCTCTCCACAAAAACACATATAGGTATGCAGAAGTCTTGAGTTTGGAGTAAAGGGAACTGAGTTCAAATTCTAGCCCTGCCAGTTTCTGTTTTTGTTTTGGCAGTGCTGAGGATTGGACCTAGGGCTTTCACACTGACCTCCATTCTTAGCCGCCCCCACACACACACCTTTTTTGGAAACAGGTTCTCACTAAATTGCTAAATCAGCCAGGCTAGGCTTGAATTTGTGATCCTCCTGCCTCTGGCTCCCAGAGTGCTGGGATTATAGGCATGCACCATGACGCCCAGCTGAGAAGTCCAGTCAGTTAGCTTCCCTGAGACTCCATCTCCACATCTGGATAATGGAGACATCGACACTGCCTTCCTGTCAAAGTGATGGTACATATGTAACCAAGCTCTTTCTTCCCTGTACATTTTTATTTGCTCATTGATTCTCCTACAGGAACTCTCAGGTGCCTGGTGTGACCATTTGAACAATTAAGCATATTTGCTCCTCTCTCCCTTAAGTCCCAAGGCTCCTGGGGGGGTCAGAGCGGGCCTTCAACTGATTATACAGCTGTGCTCCAACTAGGATTGACATAGAGCTGGCATGAAATGTCTCAAAATGTGGCATCTGCCAGGTGTGGTGGCGCATACCTGTGATCCTAGAAATCTGAGAGGCTGAAACAGGAGGATCACAACTTCAAGCCCATCCAGGCAATTTAAAAACTTAGATCCTGTCTCAAAATAAAAAAGGACGAGGGATGTAGCTCAGTAGAGGGCCCTGGGTTCAGTCCCTAGTACTGAAAAAAATCTTAGTTTAGAACAAACCCCAGGTGGGGAAGGGAAACCCTCGAAACCCTAAATAGGAAAGGGGAACCTCAGAAACCTCAGATAGGAGGAGGGAAGACTCTGGCTCCCAGGCGCCCCTGGAGAAATGGACACCTGTAGAGACAGCAGCAGGAAACTCTCACCTTTGTGGCCTCTATGAGCTACATGTGGGTGAGGTGGTGCCTGGGGAACCCTCCTGCCATGGTCTTGGCCACAAGCCTGAGCCCCCTCTCTTTCTAGCCCCACCCTGTGCCCACTGCACCCCTCACCTCTTTCAGGTTGAATCTCATATGGTGACAGAGGATGTGGAAGGGGGGCTGGGTGCCCCCACCTTGGGGATGGTAGCCTTTGACTCGAGAGGCCTGGAAAAGCCTCGGGTAGCCAAACTGGTAGCGGGCAGGGAGAGCAAAGCGCAGCCCATGCCGGTCCCCGTAGCGATGAAGCAGGTTCAGCACAGAGCTGCTCCCAGATTTATGTGTCTTCAGGAACACGAGTCGCTGCCGGGGGAGGCAAGGCGAAGCAGCAGCTGGTCCCAGGGATGGAATCCAGGGCTGTCGGAGCCTGGGAAGAGACGGAGGGGAGGGTTCCTGTCCCTCAGCAGCAAGTGGAGCAAGTGGCTTCTTGTGAAGAAAGGTCAGTGGGTATGAAGTCTCCTCTGGGTCTCCAGGAGTGACAGCCCCAGGTGGAACAGAGGAGCCACTATCAGTAGATGGGATAATTCAGAACTCACCTCCTCTGGAAGGGTCCCCCCCAGAGCTGGAGGACAAATCCGATGGTCATGAAGACTCCCAGAGCCACCCCCAGGCTCCGAGGCCCCCACAGCCGCTTGGTCCTGGCAGGAGACAGAGGGCCCATGTGGCACAGGGAAGGGGGACGCTAGGCAGAGACAGAGCCAGGGCCAAGAACAGAGACAGAGACAGCTTGAGACAGCTGTGCAGCCGTGGAAGGCACCTTTGGAGATCGGGGGTCATTCCCCAGGCCTCTTCTAAGCCCTGGTTGAGTCTGCCCCTGAGTTAGCAGATTTTTGCCTCTGTCAGCGTCTAGAAGGGAAATGAGGGGGAAGGAAAGGAGTGTAAGGGGAGAGGTAGAGCCTTCTCTCCTGCTGCAGCTGAGACCTAATTTAGGAAGGGGGACCTCTAGGGAGTGCTCTCCGCACCAGGCACTTGTAGGTGGCCCCACGACTATTCCCGGGCTGTCCGCTTCCTGATGGTGTCCAGTTCCCCCAACTCTCCACCCCTACCCCATTATGAATGAATCAGCCATTGAGAAAGACCAGATCCACGGGCTCATGACAGTGCCAGGTCCCTAGCTTCCTCCAGAGCCCCTCTGTCTAAAGAATCCCCTTCTGTGGCCGGGGGAGAAGCTACAAGGAGGAAATGAGAATCTGACAGGAATAGGTTGAGGAGGCAGGCAGGAGGAAGAGAGGTTGGACTTATAGGAGTGATTTTGTAAATGAGCACAAGCCACTGCATGTCTAAGCCTCAGTGTGACAGGGACTGGGTGAGAGGAGGGAGACAGAGCCGGTTCCCTGGACACAACCCCATCCCACTTCCCAACACTATCAGTACAATGGAGGCGGGCAGAGTTGAAGAGAGCAGGGGTGAGGAAGGGAGGTGAGGGGGAGAAGGAGAAGGAGACTCTTAGGAAACAGATACGGAGAAATACATAAACATCAGGATTTGGCGTTTCTTCCCAGGCCTGATATTCCTAATGAGCTTGGGGTCTGGCTCCACCCTTTCAGATTACAACCAGCAATCAAGGACCGCAGCCCCTCCAACAAGCCTGGACAGCCCCCTTCCTGAACGAGTCAGGGCTGACCCCAGGCAGAAAGAAGCCACAACTCGCTACCCAGGGACCCACTCCTCTGGCATCGCCCCCAATTTCTTCCCCCATCATAGCCCCCAGGATCCAGCTGCAATTCTCCTGAGTTCTTCATCTCCTTCCATTCATCTCTCTCGCCACAACCCCCATCTCAGCCTTCCGTTCACTTCAGCTTTGGGGACTGCTCAGTCTGCTGCCAGCCCTTCGTTGGCCTCCTCTGGGGTCCTTTGAGCCCTCAGGGCTCCTCCCATAAATTCAGGGCCCCTCCACCAGCCCAGCCTCAGCTTCCCTTGCCCACTTACCAGGCCACAAGGGGAGCAGCAGGGAAATCGAGTAGGGCCCTCTGCCTGCCCCAGCCACCACCCTCTCCGCTCAGCTCTGCTCAACTTTCCCCACAAACTTTCTCAGCACCCAGGCTCCTCCCCTCCCCGCCCTTTGTCCCGCCAGTCCAAGCAGCTGCTTTGGCTTTGATCACAACTCTGGGTCTCTCCTTCCCTGCATCTTTCATTCTCACTGGGGCTCCAGGCCTGCCCTTGGAGGACCCCATTTCCAGTCTCCTTTCACTTAGGAATCAATTATACCTTTTTCCTCTCAGCTTTCTACAGAACAAAAGAGTCATTCAGAGCAAAGAAGAAAGAAAGGAAAAGAAAGAGAGAGAGAGAAGAGTTGAAAGCAAACGTTGTCAGGGTAGCCAGGGGCCGTCACCCAGAGGACAAGAACGCCTTCCCTGAATGCAGGGACAGTTGATAATGCCTGCCTCGTGTTTAAAGAGAATTTTGCAGGTGACCGGGTGCTTCTTTAAGTAGGCCCTGTTTCATTTCTAAAACACTCTGTATTTTATGCAGGAAGTTATTCAGATCTTCCTGGTAATCTGGAGATCAGAGGTCATTCCCTCTATGTGCTCGCAGGAGACAGGTTCCAGGAGAGGCAAGAAGTAGGCAGAAACTGAGCCAATCCCAGATGGCTGGGCCTCTGCTATGATCCAGGACTAGGGAGGGACGATGAACATACAGAAAGCCACACACAGGGTCTGATAAATTAACATTTATTTACAAATAAGCACTGACTCATGAAATGAAAGTTTGTGAAGGATGTGGATGGCAGAAGTCAAGAGATAAGCACCACTTGTTCAAACTGATTCTGAAAGAACTCAACAGAACCCAGGCCCATTGAGCCACACAGCCTACTCACACACTCCCAATCCCCCGCCCTGTACCCCATTAGCACCCAGCTCTGTCCACTTCTGAGACCAGGTCCCCCTACCCCATTAGAGTTCCACCCCTCCCCAATTCCAACTTCCTTCCACCCATTCCCCAATGGTAACTCTAAAACACCCCCTTTCCCCTTATTGGAGCTGATGACAAGCCCTCAACTTTGGAGGGCTAAGACTTTCCTTCCTTCCTTTCTTCCTTCCTTCCTTCCTAAAATAAATACCGCAGCACCTCCTCCCCAAAGGCCAAATGAAAAAATAAATATTGTGAACACCCCCCCAACCCACTGATGGGAATCTCCTGGAATTTGGGGCCCCAGCCATTCACCTGCAAGTCCCTTTTCCACCCTCTCTGAAGCCCTTTCAACTTCTCCCTCCCCAGACCCAGCTGAAGAGAGGACATGAAGGGCCCGTTATTCCTTCTGATGCTAGGGCACCCTTCCCATGTTATCGAGGTCCAAGCAGAGCCAGGGCTGAAAAGAAGAGAATGAAGATGGGTGGGGTATGAGGAGCAACGAATGTCCCCCCACTCCTGCTCCTGCCCTGGTTGTAACGTGGGCCGACACCTCCTTTGCCCACTGGACCTTCCCTGCGAGGAGGGCGAGGAGGCCTTGGAGGCCGGGCTGGGGGTATCACCGGTGCTGCCCCAGCCTTCCAGTCGTCAGCGTACTGCTGTCCCCCTCCAGAGCCACTAGCATCCTCATCTGCAAGGAAGAACAGAGACAGACAAGGTGGGAAAGGGTTGTGGGGGGGCACAAACGGAGGAAGAGAGAACGTGGTAAAAACAGAAAAGGGAGACAGAGAGAGAGAGACAGAGAGAGAGAGAGAGAGAGGTGAAAAAAAGGGAGTGATAGGAAGACAGGGAGAGAGAAATAAAGATCAGACAGCAGACGGGATGAGAGAAGTCATTTGGAGACAGGAAAAGAGATGATCAGAAGCAAAAAGAGACAGATGGGGAGAGAGGATAAACAAGAAAGAAAACAAATACACAGCAGCAGAGTACAGACAGGAAGATGGGTGGGGAGAACAAAGACAGGAGAGAGAAAAAGAATGTCTGTGCCTTGCTTCTGTGACAAATTCCACCTTGTGGTGCCTGCCCACTGTTACCCCACCCTCCTTCCCTTCTCCTGTGACACTGGCCCTTTTTAAGAAGCTTCTCCACTCTTCTGTAAGTTTCTGTGTTTCCCACTGCACAATGGACCCTAAGATAGAGAACCACTCATTGGTCTTTTACCCCTACCTTTAAGTCAGGAGCGCAGTAAAGGCTTAAATGAAAGGGAATGAATGTAGCTAAGGAACCTGGGGGGAGACTACCGACAAAGACAGGGCCAGGAAGCGAGGGTCGGGGGCTTGCAGAATAGTAGGTAGTGCTCACGGGGTGGTGGGCGGACTTCGTGGGGCAGAAGGTGCAGCTTATGGGGTAGTGGGTGGGGGCTCGCGCGGCAGTGGGCGGGCCTCACCTGCATCGTGCATATCCAGGTCCTGTCCCAGCGACGCGGCCCTCATTCTGGCCGTAGCCGCTCGGAGCTGCAGCCGCCGGCGGCG